CGCACGCGGCCAGGGGGGGGGGGACTCAGACCCCCGAAGTCGCACCCCCTGCGCCCGCAGCGCCCGCAGCCGAGGCTGCGCAGCTGCTGGTGCCGACTCCCGGGCAGCGCCCGAGCCGCTGGGGGTTGCTGCGCGCCGGTGGAGGCTCGCGGGGGCCGCCGAGGGCCGCGCCGCCGCCGGCGACGCCAGCTCGGCGGCATGATCGGAGCCCGACGTCGGCTCTCAGAACGTTCCGGCGGAGCGTTCCCGGAACGTTCTGGACGCAGACGGCCGCGGGCGGGACGAGCGGTCGGCCACGGGCGGGACGAGCGAGACGGAGCTCGCCGCCGCCCGGGAGCCGCCGCCGAGCCCAGGGCCGCAGGCCCCCCGAGTCACCGCTTGGGGCAGAGGTCGTCGAGCGCGGCACCGACAGCGGGCCGTCGTGGGACAGGTGCACTTCCTCGAGGCATTCGCTGGGTGCGCCCGGCTTACCGCGGCCGCGCTCGCAGCCGGCCTGCTGTGCGCTGTCCCCGTGGACATCGAGGGCGGCCAGCACTTCGACGTCACCCGGAGCGAGGTCGCCGACGAGATCGTGCGCTGGATCCTCGCTGGCTGGGCGCGGCGCGCGGCGCTGGGGACTCCGTGCACGCGCTGGAGCTCAGCTCGGAGGCCGGGCGGCCAGGCCGACTCCCCGGCCCTCGCCGCCGGGCTAGCGTGCGCCAAGCTTACCTGCAGGATCATCCGGGCCTGCATCGACGTCGGCGCGGCGTTCGTCGTCGAGAATGCGGTCGAGCAGGCTCTGGAGCCGGGGCCCTTTGGCTCGCCTGCTGCGCCGGGCTGGCGCCGTGGAGGCGCGAGTCAACGCGCGCGCGTACGGGGCCGCCTGGAAGAAGCCGACTCTAGGGGAACGTCGAGGGGCTCGCCAGGATGGAGGCAACCTGCCCGGGGCACGGTCGGCACGTCGTGCTCCAGGGCTCCGTCCACCTTCCTGCCGCCGGAGGCGCGCCGGCCGCAGGCTGGCGGAAGTGTTCTGGGACGCCGCCCCGCCGGGGGCGCGGCGCCACCCCTGGGAGCGCGGCCTCGACGAGTTCTGGGAGAGCAGCCTGGCGGCCTGCGTCGGCCACAACATCGAGAGCTTCTTCCGCGCCCCCCGACTTCGGCAAAGCTCTGCTGGGAGCAGGCGGGCGGGCACTGGGGCGGCGAGCCGCTCGGCTGGGAGCTCGGCGCCCTCGCCGACCGCGCGCGGGCTGGCCGCCGCCAGCCGGCGCAAGGCCGGGCAGCGCCGTAGGCACCACGCTGAAGGCGGGCCCGGGTTCCTGAGGCGGCTCGCCGCTGGGCCCACGACCCAGCAGAGGTAACAGGACGCGCGCGCCGCCGTCGCCGAGTTCGCGCGCGCCGTCCCGGGCGTCAAGGACGTCCTGAAGTGGGACCAGGTGCTGGTCGAGTACATGGAGTTCCTCTACCTGGGCGGGAGCGCGTTGGGGGGCCGCACGCCACGCAACGCACGGGGCCGCCTGGATGCTGGGCATGGCCATCAAGTCGCCCTGCCGCGCTGCCGCTCTCGAAGGCCACGCTCCGAGCTTTCACCTGGAGAGCCCCAGAGAAGTCGCGAGACCCGCCGCGCGAGGAGATGCTCTGGCTGTTCTGCGACCACTTCATCAGCCACGGGATGCCGATTGTCGCCGCCTTCTCGCTGCTGGCTTGGGATTGCTATCTGAGGCCGTCGGAGGCCCTCGACCTGAAGCGCGAGGACCTCTCCCCAGGTCCGCGGCGCCTCCGTCACCAAGCGGCGCCTGACGGTCGCCCCCTCGACCCGGGACAAGCCGCCCAAGAACCGGCAGTTCGATTCCGGCGCCGCGGCGGCCTCGCAGGACCAGGAGCGGCTCGCGCCGATCCTCGAGCTGCTCCACGCGCGGGCCAATCCGGGCGGGCAGCTGCTGCAGGGCCTCACTTCGCCTCCCGTCGAGAAGACCTTCGCCGACGCCTCGACGAAGCTCGGCATCAAGGTCGTGCCGCACGGGATGCGGCACGGCGGGCCCTCGAACGACGCGTTCAAGCACGGGGTCGCCATCTCGGACATCCAGAACTGGGGTAGATGGTTGTGCGGCCGTATCTACATGAAGCTTGCTTCCTTGCTTCGCAGTATTCAGTTGTTGTCTCGGTCACAGATAGAGCGGGCTTCAAAGCTCAGAAAAAGGGTGCCTGGAGATCTAGTGGCTTCGCTCAACAGAGTTCTGGGCACAGAATTGCTGGCAAGTGGTGGCAGGCGAAAACGGAAATTAGTTCTCTTCGAGGTGAGCGCCTTCCGGCGTCTCACCCCCTCAGGCATTTGACGCGTGCCAACGCGTCCGCGGCAATCGATTGATAAAAAGAGATCGGGCTGAGGGGGCACTTCTTGTAGGCGGGGATGTTTGCATGTTGCTGCGGTATCTCGCTGGTGGTGTCCAATGCACGGATCCAAGAGAGTAGACAAGAATGTTGTCAGAACGTTCCGGCGGAGCGTTCCCGGAACGTTATGGATACAGACGGGTCTTCCGTTCTTCATCCTTTTCGCTCGCTTGCTCGTTTAATGCGCGCTGTCTTCTATAGCCTTTTCGGCGCCGCCCATCCCCCGTCCTCCGCGCATGAGTCAGAATTGTATGATATGTTTTTTGTGCGAGGCCCCTGCAGGGCGGCCCGCGAAAACGGACATGAGTTTTCAGAGACTTAGAGGTAAGCGCCCTCTGGCATCTCACCCCCTCAGGCACTTGACGCGTGCCAACGCGTCCGCGGCAATGGATTGATAAAAAGAGATCGGGCTGAGGGGGCACTTCTTGTAGGCGGGGATGCATACGTAGCACCGAATATCTGTATCAAAACAATGCGAACTGGTCGCGAGGCGCCCGCGCATGTTCCTGATTGGGAAGCCACGTGCAGCTTGCATTACAATCTAACAGGGATAGTCGGCCTACGCGCAGCAAACAGTATGAGGACATCCCCGCCGTCCCTGTCCAAATCAAATGCAAAGTGGTCGCGGGGAGCACGCGCATGCTGCAAATTAAGAGGCAAACTGTATGTAAAGTTGTGTATTGACAGGCATGGCTGGCCTGCGCGCAACAAGCAATATGAGGGCCCCCAGCCGTTCCCTGTCAAAACCCGATGCAAGGCGGTCGCGGGGCATCCGCGCATGCTTTCGCTTCGGAGACAAAATGTATGTTGGATTGCTTTTTGATGGGGATGGCTTGTTTGCGTGCAGCAACCAATATGAGGGTTCCCCCGCCGTCCCTTTCAAAAATCATGCAGAGTGGTCCCGGGGCGTTCGCGCATGTTCCACATGCAAACGCAAAGTGTAATTCGCATTGTTTGTGTTAACAGATGGTGGTGGGGGTCATGGGTCCGGATTGGTTGCCAGTCGTTTGGGGGAGAGGGTTTTCTTCACAGGGGACAGTGATCAAGCAACCCCAAGCCGCAAGCCGTATCGCTCACTCCCACCCGCCCTCCCGCTACATAAGTCGCACCCAATTCTCAGCATAGAGAGAGGCCGTCCTCGACAACCAGCGGAAACCAATGCAGACGCCAGCCAGGTGCGCGACGCCCGCGAAGTGCGCCGCACGTGCCAGGTGCGCCACCCGCTCCAGGTGCGCCACATTTGTCAATAGGTCGACCGCTCCACCACCCCTGTCAAAAACCAATGCAAGGTGACGGCGGGATTGCGAGCATTATGCATTGTCCCGCGACCACTTTGCATTTGCTTGTGACAGGAAAAGTAGGCCTGCACACAGCAGGCAGAATACCGCCTCCTTACCGTCCCAAGCAAAGACATGTTTACAGTTTGCTGTTACAGCAGGTGGTGTCCCTGCACGCAGCAGGACATGTGCCGCTCTCCCCCGCCGCCCCTTTGTTCAAAAGCCACGCGAAGTGATCGCGGGGCGCCCATTGCCCGATTCGGATCCTGGTGCAAACGGCACTTGGCATCGTTTCTGTTGACAGGGATGCTTTGGGGGGCGCTGGCACTGCACGCGGCAGGCGAGATGCAGGCCCCCCCCCCCCGCCGTCCTTGCCAGAAGCCTACGTGCATCTTGATGGCGTGGCGCCCGCACGCGATCCAGACTCTGGTGCAGGGTGCACCTGGTAGTGCAGCCCTCCTCCTCCTCCTCCTCCTCCTCCTCCTCCTCCTCCTCCTCCTCCTCCCCCTCCTCCTCCTCCTCCTCCTCCTCCTCTTCCTCCTCCTCCTCCTCCTCCTCCTCCTCCTCCTGGGCGACCCGTACCAGAAGGACGCACGATGAGGACGCAGGGGCCTCGGAGGGCCCTCTCGAAGCTTCTCGAGCGGGGCGCGGCCAGCGAAAGGGGCCAAGGACGGGCCGCGGGGGCAAGGATGCAAGGGTACCCTTAGGAAGGTTGCCCCTACTTACTGTGTGGGTCGGCTCTAGTTTTTGACAGGGATGGCGGGGTGGGGGGGGTCGTTGCACACAGCAGGCTATGTGCCGGCACCCCCGCCGCCCTATTCAAAAGCCAGTGCAAAATGACCGCGGGGCGTGCGTGCATGATCCAGATTTGGGCGCAAATTGAATGCGGCATCATTCTTTGACAGGGATGGCGGGGGGGGGTCGGTGGTTTCCCCGAAAGGGAAGAGGCAAGATGGAAGAAGAAACGCTCTAAACCGCTTGTGCCCCGAGGGCTTGTGTGGTTCCTCCCCCTTTTGATGCGCGTCCTCCTCCTCGCCTCTTCCCTTTCAAGAGCTCACAAGAGTATGACAAGAGCACCCGTCGATCATGAAATCCAACTCATGCCCTGGTGCCATGGCCTGCTCCTACAAAAGGCCCCGGTATGACCCTCTAACACACCTTGCGGCCTTGGAATATCATGGCACGGGCCCTGTTCCACGCTATGCCCTGACCTGACGCTAGAGCATGCTAGAACTCGAGCTCGTGCACTGGGAACTATGAGTGCCTACGGCACTGTGGCGGATAGATGCCAGTGACTCTCAGGTAGTTTCAGTGCCTGAATCGGTGGAGGAGAAGTACAGTTCTATAGCAGACGTCATGATGTCACTGTTCATGTGCATCTCTGGAGGAGACGACTGGTCTGTAATGGTGACCCCATTGTACGAAGTGCATCGTTTCTATGTATTTCTGTTCGTCGTGTATATTCTCCAGGCTGACGCCACATCCGCCGACCCAATTTGTTGCGGATGGGTGGAATTCCTAACGGCGGTAGAGGGTTAGAGGATGTTGGTCGGGATCTCGTGGTTGGCCTCTCGGGGGCCTCCTACCATTTCAGGAACATCTGCCGATGCGGGGAGGGGGGGGAGGGAAGAGTTGGATGAGGATAAGGAGGGGGAGGGAAGGATGAGGAGGAAGTGGGCGATGAGTAGGGTGCGGGGATGAAGAAGGCGACGATGGCGACGACGACAATAGAGGGTTCATGGATAGTAGTCGGGAGGACGTAGTCTGGAGGACGGGAAGGAGGAGGAAGAGTGCAGGTTGGAGGCCTCTTGGGCGCCGTTTTGGGGTCTCTTGGGGCCCCTTTTATGCCTCATGGGTTCGTCTTGGGGGGTCTAGGGGGACCTCCTGGGAGCTCCTGAGGGCCTTTTGGTTGCCTTTTGGATCGTGGTCCCCCTCCCGGCCCTCTCGTGGGCTCGTTTTCAGGCGGCCTTGGGCCGTGTCGGGTGCGTCTTGAGCCGTCTGGAGGCCCTCTGGGGCAATGTGGGGGCCCTCTTGGAGGCCTTTTGGGCCGTCCTGGGGCGACCTCGGGGGCGTCATAGGCCGTCTTGGAGCGTCGGACAGGCGGGAAAGCGAGTGTGCTAAAAATGTACGTTTTACGAAGGGAATGGGGCCATTTTTCTGCGTCTGGGGACCCTGTTGGGGCACATCTTCGGGGCGCCTTGGGGTGTCTTGGAGGCTGCGGAGAGCGTCTGGGGACCATCGCCGGCGTCTGGGGTCGATATTCCAACGATTCGCGGCCCTCTTGGACCGCATGGGGGGGCGTCTTGGTGCCCTCTTGGAACATTTTGGGGCGTTCCCCCCCCTTGGCGCGCATTGTCCGGAACCTCGCGCGGCCCGGGGGGGGGGGTCAAATTCGAGGTTTGGGGTCCCCAGGGGGGGATTCTGGGGGGGAACATTCTCACACGCCTGAGGACCCACAAGGGGTCGGCGGATTTTCTTCATGGCGTTCGGTGTCCTGAATGTAGTAGTGGGGCATTTCGTCGACAACGCATCGAGGGCATCTGAAAAGGACAGGGATTCAGTGGTGAAGAACGAGCTCAGGCAAGAAAAGGAGTACGCTCTGAAAATGCAAAGCATCTTCCGCGATGCCGACAAAGATCACGACGGACAGTTGTCCTGGACCGAATTCGAGGAGTATTTGAGCAATGGCACGGCTGCCGCGTACTTTTCCACCGCTGGTTTGGACGCCAACATTGCGAGAACCCTCTTTCTGCTGCTGGACGTCGACGACACAGATAAAGTCGGCATCGAGGAATTCATTGGTGGATGCATGAGGCTGAAGGGCGCTGCGCGCAGCCTTGACGTGAACATGCTGTTGTACGAGACAGAAAAAATGTGTTACAAGCTCACGGAGTTTATGCAGGAGACGACGGACAGCTTGAACAAGATGATGTCGGCGGGCGGGGGGCGGCGCCCGAGCGAGCAGCAAAACGAGGACTTCAACAATGGGGATACCTCGCCACTGTTTTCTACTGCCCTGTCGGAGCGTAGCGACATGAGCCGCAACTCGGCAATTCGCCTGCAGGAGTTCCGGAAACGGCCTGTGCGCCCGTGTGCCGCGCTCGCAGGATCAGCGCTGAGGAGGAACAGTGCTGACAGCGGGGCCGTGAATCTCGATTTCGGCCCCTGACTGGCTTCGCGTCTGCTCGCTGCCTGAGATGCGCAATGCTTCGCGGAGGGCGCGGCCGGACAAGCGCTCCGTCCGTTCCTGGGCCATCTCAGGGGCGTTCTGAAGCCGCCTGGGGTTCTCATCAGGCCATCTTGGGGGCCATCTGGGCCGTCTTGGGCCTCCAGGCCGTCGTGGGTACACTTGGAGCCTTATCAGGCCTCTTTGTGCCTTCTCAGGCCGTCTGCAGCCTTTCAGGGGGCCTTCTTGGGCCGTCTGGAGCCTCTCGGGGGGCCCTCTTTGGGCGTCTTTGGGCCCCTCTTGGGCAGTCATGGTCGCTTTTTAGGCCGTCTTGGAGCGATCAGAGAAGGGCCTTTGGGCCGTTTGGGGCGCGCTGAAGACTGAACAGACGAATATGCCAAAATGTTTCCAACGAACATGAAGCATCAACGGATTTTGCGTTTGGGGGGTGCTCTTGGCCCCCCTTTGGGAGCCTCTTGGGTCGTCTTCGGCCATTTTGGAGACATCACGGGTCGTCTTTGGCCCATGTTCGTTGCCGTTTTGGAGACCCTCAGGGCAGCGCTTCCTCCTTCGCCGCTGTCTGGCCGTGGTTCTTCTGGCTTGCACCACATCCGCCGACCCCATTTACGCGAGCGCGCTGCCTGAAGCCTGTGGAAGCATGCAAAATCGTTTGGAGATCCAAGTGGAGCGTCGAGGCTTCATTTTGTATCATATCTGGCCGGTTGTTCAGTGGTCTTCGGCCCCATCCCGCCACCGTGCCTACGTCGTGGGCCAGAGTTCTTTGGGAACATTGAGAAAAATAGAATGTTGTTTCAGCCCCCTGTTCCAGCACTCCAACGGCTGCTTCCTCGCCGCCCCGACCCGTCCTCCTGCCTTCGACCTCTCCTCCTGGCTCCTGCCTCGCTTCCGCCTCGCCTCCTACGGTGGGCACGGTGGGGGCGTTCGTTCAGCAATGTGCCCAGGAAACTTGAAAACCTGGAGGATTCCTTATCTGATGAGGGCGGCCATGGCCAAACCACGATTGGAGTTCCACTGGCTTCCAGACCCTGGATTCCTTGTTCAATGGTTCCTCATCCAATGCCCACACCGTCCGTAGCCATTTTGGCTCAAGCCATTTGGGCTCAAGGCATTGCCGCTTGGTTCAAGGTGACGAGCGTGCCAGGGCGCGGGCGGCCAGGCTGGGCGCCGGGCGGCCGTCGCTTGCTGAAGCCATGGCGGTCGCGATGCCCACCGTGAAGTGGCGATGAGCACAGAGATTCTCCTTGGCGGAGGCCGCTGGTGCTCGTGCGGGGCGGCAGGTTGGTTGCCGCCGCCCGTCCTCGGCATCATTCTCCACCAGTGGGCGCCTCCGCACGGTGCGCCGATTGGAGCGGGGCCCACCGCGAGGTCGCCCGTGGGCGTCGCTGGCGAGGTGCGCTGCGCCGCAGGGCGCGAGATCCTGGCTGCGCCGGGACAGCCGCCCTGAGGTCAGGCGCTAAGGCGTGACGCCGAGGCTTTTGTGCCGAGCTGCGGTGAGCCCAGCGACGGCGGGCAGCGCCTGCTCGAGGCCCTGGGTGTCCTGGAGGCGAAAGACGTGGAGCTGAGCGGCAAGGGTGCTGACCTGGCCGAAAGCGGAGAGCCTCCACTGGCTCTGGGAGCTTGGGACGACGTCAACGGGGACAACGTGGATGGCGGCTGGCTGACGGCTAAGCGCCCCGTCAGGCGGCGGTCGTGAAACGACGGCCGCGGCGGGAAGCCGTCTGGCACGGCGTCCCGCTTCAAAGTGCTCGGTGGCGGCGACGGCGGCGACCAGGCGATGGAGATGGCTGTGCAGGTCACGCCCCCCGTGCGGTGCCTGCCCGATGGCATGGAGCGGGGTGCGAGTGCTGACCATCGCGGGCGGTGCTGCGCCCCTGCTGGGCGGGGCCCTTGGTGCCCGCGAGGGTCGTGCCATGCGCTGGGAGGCCGCCCAGGCCCCTGCAGCCCGCACGGCCGCCTCGTGGGCAGAGGCTGGGGCGGAACGGCAGGCGCTGGCAGCGCTAGCGACGGCAGCCCGCCGCGGGCAGCATCTGATGTGGTGCTGGCTGGCACGGAGGGTTGCCGCAGCGAGGCGGCGAGCGCATGTGTCCGAGCTGCCCGAGGCGACGCTGCAAGACGTGAATGGCGACAATCTGGACGAGGTGATGTCCGAGGCCGCTGCGGGGGCGCTCGGGGCGCAGGTTGTCCGGGAGGAGTCAGAGGTCCTGGAGGTGTCGGAGGGCGCGCTCGCCACGGCGAGATCCGAGGATATCGGCGACGACGGGGGCGGGGCCGCCGTCGGCGGCGAGGCCGAGCGCCCCTCTCGGCATGGTCGTGGTGGCGATGCCGTTCACGCCGAGGGTGCTCTTCCAGAAGGTGCTGCGCATCGAGCGGGGACTTCGCGGCGGCGCCTGTCGGTGCTCCGCGCCCACTTCCTGGTTGACGCTGCCGTGAGTCTCGCGCCCGCGCCGCTGGCGTTCCGAGCCTCGCGCGGGGAAAGGGAGCTCCACGGCGTGTTCTGTGCGGTCTTCGCATCATCGGGCGCTGATGCAGTGTGCCCTGATGGCCATCGGCTGCAAGTCACCTATTGCAGCATGGCGAAGACGTGCAGGCGCTGCAGGTGCCGCGCGATGGGGCCACACATCGCGCACGAAGGAGGCGGATGTGTGGCCTGTCGGCTGTGCGCGCTTGACTTGGAGTGGAGCTGAGTGCGAGCGGCAGGCGGCCGCGGGCTCCAGGCACGCTTCGGCCGTGAAGTTCCTCCGCTGCTCGGCTGAGGCATCCTCTTTCCCTCAGGCCGCCGCGGCGCGATGTCCGATTGGTAGAACCCATGCCAGCCCGCGCCTTGCGCACCCGAGGAGATTTGATTTGAACAAAACAAAACTTAACTCGCCCCCTCGTCTCCGACCTCGCTGCCTCGCCTCTTCCCTCGTTCCCTCCTCCTCCTCACCTCCTCTTCCGCCTCCTCGCCTCCTCCCTCGCCTCCTGCCAGCCCTCTGCCTGCTTGCTTTCTGCCTGGCCTCCCTGGCCGTTGGCAGCTGCGCGGCCATCGCCGCTTTCCCTGAGCTTTCCAGGGAGGTCCAGCGGAGCAGCGCCTGCTTCGGGTCCCAGCCAGACCTCGCCTCCCTCGGCGCTGCCAGCTGTGCAGCCGTCGCCACCTTCGTGAACCCCCGTGAGGTCCAGCGGGGCGGCGCCCCATTGAGGTTCAAAGGAGGCATCGTCTCCCTGGGCGCCGCCAGCCGCGCAACGGCCGCCGCGTTCGTGAGCTCATCTGGGGGCCTCAGCGGAGGGTGACCTCGCCTCACTGGGCGCTGCCAGGCTGCGCAGCGATCGCACCCCTCCTCCTCCTCCTCCTCCTCCTCCTCCTCCTCCTCCTCCTCCTCGACCTCCTCCTCCTCTTCCTCCTCCTCCTCCTCCTCCTCCTCCTCCTCCGCCTCCTCCTCCTCCTTTTCCTCCCCCTCCTCTTCCTGATCCTCCTCATCCTCCTCCTCCTCCTCCTCCTCCTCCTCCTCCTCCTCCTCATCATCATCATCATCATCATCATCCTGCTCCTCCTCTTCCTCCGCCTCCTCTTCCTCCTCTTATTCCTCCTCCTCGTTATCCTTGTCCTCCTCCTCCTCCTCATCATCATCATCATCATCATCATCATCATCCCCTTCCCCCTCCCCATCCTGCCCCCCTCATCATCATCAGCATCATCATCATCATGATCCTCATCCTCCTCCTCCTCATTATCATCATACCCCTCCTCCTCTTCTTAGTATTCATTATCCTCCTCCTCGTCTTCATTGTCCTGCTCATCATCACCATCATCATGACCTGCATCATCATCAGCAGCAGGACCAACATCATCCCCCTCATCCTCTGCTTTCTCCTCCTCCTCGTCATCCTTCGGCTCCTCCTTGTCCCCCTCATCATCATCAACAACACCATCATCAGCATCATCATCCCCCTCCTCCCCCATCCTCCTCCCCATCCTCTTCCTCCACCGCCTCCTCCTCCTCCTCCTCCTCCTCTTCCTCCTCCTCCTCCTCTTCCTGCTCCTGCTCCTCCTCCTCCTCCTCCTCCTCCTCCTCCTCCTCCTCCTCCTCTTCCTCCTCCTCCTCCCTCCCCCATTCTCCTCTTCCTCCTCCTCCTCCTCCTCCTCCTCCTCCTCCTCCTCCTCCTCTCCTCCTCCTCCTCCCCCTCCTCCTCTTCCTCCCATCCTCCTCCTCCTCCTCCTCCTCCTCCTCCTCTTTCTCCTCCTCCTCCTCCTCCTCCTCCGCCTCCTCCTCCTCCTCCTCCTCCTCCTCCTCCTCCTCCTCCTCTTCCTCCTCCTCCTCCTCCTCCTCCTCCTCCTCCTCCCTCCTCCTCCTCCTTCTCCGTAGCCATTTTGGTTCAAGATGCTTTGTTCCACAGGGGAACACGTGGATACCGCTAGTCCGCGGCCAGTGCCAGGGCTCCCGAGCCCGACAGTTTTGTTCGACCCTCGGGCCTCCTGCTGCCCGCAGGTGAGCACTCTTTGTCCCTCTCGTGCAGCATGGAGAAGAGCCAGCAGGAGGCGCGCCGCGCTGCCGAGGGATACGCCAAGTGCCAGCCCTGCAGCTACGCCTGGAACTTCAGGCGCAACCACTGGTGCTGGAAATGTGAGAGCCCGCTCAAGCCCTCTCCTGGCCGCGTGCAGCAGCCAGGAGGCGTGTGGGGGGCGGGCCCTGGCGGCGGTGGCCCCAAGCGTGGCAAGGCCTCACAGGCTCTGGCCGACGGGGGCGCCCCCCAGCCTGCAGGCCCAGGACAGGGTGAGCGTCGTCAAGCCTTTCCTGATGCTCCATGGGTTTCGCAGGGTGGTGCCAGTGACGAGCTCGCGCGTCTCCTGGCGTGCCCCGACGAGGGCATACGCGGCGAGCTCGAGCGGGTGCTCAAGGCGGCGAGGGAGTGCAAGGCTGCGCCCCCGCCCCAAGCCGTGCGCACCCTGGCGCAGAGGCTGCTACGGACCGACGATTGCACTGGCGCAAGATCCTCGACGAGGCCGCCAATGCGCACACGGAGGCAGAAGACAAGCTTGCGGAGGCGACGGAGTGGCGTGACCAGTGCGCGGCGAACTTCGACTCCGCCCAACGCGAGGAGGCCGACCTCCTCATCCTCAGGGCCAGAGAGACGGGCGCTGCGGCCGCATCCGTCGACCCGTCTCGCCAGGTCACCGTCAACTTCGACGCCGAGAGTTTCGAGGACTGGGAGGACTTGGAGGAGCAGGCCCAGGAGGAGCTCCGCAAGCTTTGCACGGAGGGTAAGACCATCATGGAGGAAGCGAGGGCCAACTTCGAGGCCAACTGTCGCATGCAGCAGCAGAGGGCCAAGGAGTTCCGCGAGGCCCAGAAGAAGCGCAGGCGGGTGCAGGAGGACCCCGCCTCCCCAGCGCCGGGCCCGCCGCCGCGCCAGGAGGCCCATGCGGCTTCGGAGGCGACGACGGCCGCAGGCGGTCAGACCCCAGAGAGCGCAGCCGAGGCAGCAGCCAAGGCCCGCGCTGACAAGGAGGCAGCGGAGCAGGAGCGCAGTGCCAAGCAGATTGGCGAGGCTGCGTCCATGGCCAGCCGCACAGCCAAGACCGCCGCTGCCGCGAAGGCCAAGGCGGCGACTGCTGCTGCTGGCGGGGCCCCTGCAGCTGCTCCTCCTGCTGGTGCTGGGCCTGCGGGGGGGGCAGCTTTAGCGACTCCGTGCCGCAGGGCTTCCACCTGCCCGACTACACGTCGGCCTGGACCTCGCGGTACGTCGACATGGAGCAATGGCGGCTGGGCATAATGGCAGGTGAGAGCGGGGCTAGACGCATCGTGAGTGTGCCGCGGCCGCGCGGGTGGCCGAGTCCTCACTCCATGCGATCCCCGTCACCGAAGCCGCCGACGGGCGGGTGGCCGATGCCTTCGGTGACGGGTCGGGCCCCTGCCCCTGCCAGCCTATGCCGCCGCATGGACCAGGGGGGGGCTGACGTTTTCGCGGACCTGGACGATGAGCCCTACGCGCACGACGGGTACATGGATGAGCCTTCCGCGTGGAGGCCGACGTCAGCCACTGGTGCAGCGAGCTCCCAGCGGCCAGGGCTCGCGGGGACGCGCAGACCGCAGCGACGCACTCCTGAGGAGAGGCGTCGACAGAGAACAGAGGGCAAGCAGGCGCCCATCCAGTTTGCCAACATCACTGAGTACGGCCCCCAGGCTGCCAAGTTCCTCGCAGAGAGGGGCAAACGCAAGTACAAGGCCATCGCGTTCGTGGAGACCCGCGCCACGGCGGAGCAGCTGACGGCCACCCAAGTGGCCCTGGGCAAGGATGGCTGGAGGGTGGCTGGCACGCCGGCCACGCCCTCTGGCAAGGCCAAGTCGGGCACCTCTGGAGGGGACATGCGGTGCCTCGACAAGACCTTGGCGGCGACGACGTACGAGTGCCATCGGCGTCGCCATCTTCTAGCCACGCGGAAGGAGATCTTCGTCGGTTTCTGCCTTGTGGTCCTCCACCTGAAGGAGGGCAATGTGGTCTTGGTGGCGATGAACCTGCAGCCAGGACTCAAGTTTGGTGGCGTCAACCGCAATCGGCTCCTGGCGGTGGGCAGCTACGCGTCCACCCTGCCCGACCCGTGGGTCCTCCTTGCGGACTGGAACCTCGAGCCCCCTGAGTGGGACAGGAGCGAGTGGCCTGGCAAGATTGGCGGTGCGGTGGTTACCCCATCGAATGCAAGAACGACCTGTGGCAAGGGTCAGGGCCGCATGTACGACTATGCAGTGGCTAAGCAAGGGTGGCATCATCGGCTCCGCCTTCAGGCCATTTTCGACGTCCCGCGGAAGACCCACTGTGCGATCGAGGTCATCATCGAAGGTTCCGACCGCCGATGGCATCACGACGAGCTCGCTGTTGCCCGCAGCCCCCCAGTTCGAGCGAGGCCGCCCAAGGGGCCAGACCCAGAGAGCAAGACCTCGAGGCGCAAGGCGGAGGCCCTGCAGTCGCGGGCCCGCGCCTTGCCGCGGCAGCTCCAGGAGACGTTCCTCGAGATCCACGAGCAGGGCGAGGACCAGCACCCTGAGGGCGCGAAGCCTTTCTTCATCACGGAGGACGTTTGGTCCAGCTGTTGCCCAGCATTGGGAGATCCTATCCCGCGAGCTGGTCAGATGGAGTACTTCATCAATGCCAGTCGCCCCGACGACGTCCAGGAGGTCAGCCTGGCGTATGGCAAGTGGATCTCCCAGTTTGAGGAGGCCCATATTGCCGTCGAGCGGATCCCCCCTGATCAGGCCAGGGCTTGTCGAGGTCGGGCGCATGGGCATTCCATCAAGCGGGTCAAGGCGAATACCACCCCAGGGAGGGCCCACACGGTGGACGCTGGTGTAGAGCTGTGGAGCACCCTGACGACCTTGGCCATTCGGGCCCGCGCCCTGGTGGCGAACAAGACGGACAGCGACCAGTTGGACTACGTCTTGGGCGACCTCGAGCAGCGGTGTGACATTATCGCGGACGAGGGCCACCGCGCCAGGTATTTCGGCAATGCTCTCAGTGCTGAGTTGGAGGAGTGGAGGCATGCGAAGGATGCTCTCCTTGCGTCCATCGGAGATGACTTCCACCTCATGCCATCCTCCGGCCTCATTGGCGCACTCGATCCATTCATAGAGGTGTCCGAGCGTCGGTCGAGCAGGGCCTCGGGCAGATCCCATGCCAAGGCACGTCGCGGCTTCATCAAGTGGGCGATGGAGTCCTGGAAGTCCAAGGCGGGGGTTGTGTATAGGCACGTGCGCGAGCCGCAGGTACAGCAGACTGAGGTGCGTTTGCGGGACACTGCTGTTGCCGACCCGTGCACTATCATGCGAGTGAAGACTGACGTTTGGGAAAAGGTGTGGTCGGACCCTGAGTTCGACGAGGGCCAGGTCCTACAGGATTTGGGGGATCCCCGCGCGCGTGCTGCTGAGGAACCCCTGGAGCCCATCACCTTGGAGATGCTGGCTGCGGCGCTGTCTCGGACGTCGTCCAAGAAGGCGAAGGGCATCGACAACATCACGGCACTGGATATCGCTCGCTGCCCCCCGTCGGCGCGGCAGCAGCTGGTCGACCTGCTCAACTTAGTCGAACAGCGGGCCATCTGGCCATGGCAGAGAAACACTACGATCGGAGCCGAGATGCCGACCGAAGCCTGCGGGGGGGGGACCGAGTCATTGGCATGTTGGCGACGACGGCCAAGATTTGGTCCAAAGTGAGATCCACCGTCACGGACAAGTGGGAGGTCTCACAGGACCAATGGTGGGACACCGCCATCAAGGGCAGCTCTGCCCTCAGGGCGGCCATCGTCCGCGCGTTGATGGACGAGACGTCGCTGTCGATGGGGTTCCACACGGCGAATTTGCTGCTGGACATCCAGAAGTTCTACGACAGCATTGGGCTCTCTGGGTTACTCCAAGTGGGGCTCCGCCTGGGCTTCCCTGCGGTGGCGCTGGCCCTGGAGACACAGCTCTTCATGGCCCCGCGGCACATCCGCCAGCAGCGGTGGCTGGGGCCTCGACTAGCGCCGCAGCGCTCGGCGGCGGCGGGCAGTTCCCACGGCAACAAGTGTGCGAAGCTGTTCCTGGCGCCCATACTGCGGGCTGCCCACCTTGAGTGGGAGCATGCGCAGTTGTGGACCTTCGTCGACGACACAGTGGCGAGGGCCGAGGGCAAGCTTGAGCACGTTCGGTCTACCATCCCCGGCGTGGCGGAGTCCCTCAAGGCTGGCCTGGACGAGCAGCACCTGCAGGTCTCTGGCAAGACCGTGGTGATTGCCAGCCACCCGCAGCTGGCCAAGGACCTCCACCGCGCGCTGGTGCGCAGAGGCGCCCCCTGCGCGGCTGCCAACCACGCAGTGGACCTCGGCGTGGACACCACCGCGGGGCGAGCGCGCACGCAGCGCAGGGCGCTCACCAGGAGGAAGGCGGGGCAGTGCCAGTCCCGCCGCATCTTCAGGATGAGGCGCCATGTCCAGCCCCCCCGAGTGACCAAGGCGCTGTGGTCTACCGCGGCGCTGCCGAGGTCGACGCACGGCCACCAGGCCTTTGGCCTTGCACCCTCGGCCATCCTCAAGCTGAGGAGGTGTGCTGCACTATCGGCAGCGGGCAAGGGGCCTGGGAGGTGCCTCACGAGCATCCTCGCCACCCTCCACGGCGACAAGGAACATGGCCTGGAGCTCAGGCGCCAGCTCCTGGGCGAATGGATCGACCTCTGGAGGCGGGCCCCGCAGCTCCGCAGTCGCATCGAGTGCGCGTGGTCCAGCGTCTTGGCCAAGCTGGTGAAGGGCAGGCCCCAAGCGGAGGTGACGAGCTGTGTGTGGCCCCATGGCCGCGCTCATGGCGATGCTGCTGGACGCGGGCTGATCGCCTACTACGGCGCGCTCGTGGACGACGGCCAGCGGTGTGGAATGGCGCCTTCCTGGCCACGAGGATCTGGGCATGGACACGTCGGCGGTGCAGGACGAGTTCGTGATGGACCTCAAGCGGGCGATGTGGAGCGTGGCCAGCAAGCACATGCACGGCGGCGATTTATGCGAGGGTGTTGATGCCACCCTCATCCCCCGCGAGCAGCAGCACTACCCCTCCAGAGGCCAGGTGGACATGCACGCGCAGAACATCGCGGTCACTTCGGGTGGCCAATGGCCGCGGCCCAGGCAGAGAGAGGCGGGCTACGAGCTGGAATATGTCACCTGCCCCCGCTGCGGCCACAAGGACGAGACCCTGTATCACCGCTTTTGGTCTTGTCTTGCGAATCGGGGGTGCAAGGAGCACGACTCCACCAACCACCTGGTGGGACAGGCCAGCGTCCAGCACGAGAGCCAGCCGTCGTTGTGGCTTCGTGGTCTCCCCGCGCTGCACCTCACGACGCCGCAGTACGACGAAGACCTTGCGGAGTGGTCCTTCGGGGTTGGCGATTTCCGAGGTGCCCGTGGAGCTGATGGAGTGCTTCATCTTTTTGGAGACGGCACGGCAGCGGGGGGGTGGGCACATTGCGGACCCCCGCCGCCGCCGTTGCGGAGCCGCTGTTTGCTCCGTTTCCTTTGACGTGGAGGCGGCCGCCTGGCGCCTCGAGGGAGGCGTCTTGGGCAGGCTGTCAGCGCGCCAGACTGTCCCGCGCGTTGAGCTCTTGGCCTTCGCCCTGGCCGTAGAGGCGGCCGAAGGCCCCTTTTATTTTTTACACTGACAATCGTGCTTTGTATGTTGGGTGGCTCTCGGGGAGGCAGGCCTCTCCTCTCGGGGTGAATGGGGACCTCTGGGCTCGCGTGAAGCGGGGCATTGCCTCCGGAGGACCCCAGGGAGTTGCCGAGATGTCCGTTGTGTGGATCCCGTCCCATATGGACGAGCAGGCCCACCTGTTGGTCTCGCCTAGTGCGGTCTTCCGTGCTGCTGGGAACGCCTGTGCCGATGCCTTGGCGGGCGTCACGGCCCAAGAGGCCCCTTCTCGAGGCCTCATCGGCGTTGCCCCGCACACGGATGTATGGGACGCTATTGCCGCGCAGGTTAGGACTCGTGCAAGGGGGGCCCTGATTGACACGCTCGAAGTAGACGCTTGGGAGGCTAAGAGGCCTCCGAAGTTTCGGACCGCTCCTCAGCCAAAGCTCACCCGAGCCTTGGCGGCCAGCCAGCACGCCTGGACGCCCGTCCAAGGCGGATGTTGGTTGTGTTCTGCTTGCCGCCTTCTGGTTCCTGGGTCCAGGGTCGAGGAAGCGGCCGAGTCTTCGTGCACCCCCGCCCCTGCGCTTAGGGTCGGCGGGGGGGTGGGCGCCCCGAGCAGTATTGTGAAGAGTAATTCGTACGTGATCCTTGGGAACCAAGAGGTCCACCAGTCTCATGAGCTGTACCTGTGGCAGGAGCACATGCTTTTATGTTTGCTATGTGCGCGGCCCGACGGCTACCCTCAAGCTGGCTGGGCTGGCCGAGCTGTGCCACAGCCCCACCAAGAGGGGGCGTCAGAATCTCACACGAATCAAGCACGGCAAGCTCCCGAGCTACGCAGGCTTGCCAAAGGGGGCCAAGGATGCTTCCCTGATTCTGCAGTCAGGAGTAGGAGCGGCTCCTTCCGAGGGCTCCAACGAGGGACCTCCTGAGAGCTCTGCCGAGGGCTCCAACAAGGGACCTCCTGAGAGCTCGTAGGGTGGTTGGAGGGACACTGCGTCCCCTTGGTATCTCGTATCTCGTATCCCTCCTCCTCCTCCTCCTTCTCTTCCTCCGCCTCCTCCTCCTCCTCCTCCTGCTCCTCCTCCTCCTCCTCCTCCTCCTCCTCCTCCTCCTCATGCTCCTCTTTCTCATCCTCCTCCTCTTCCTCCTCCTCCT